AGATACAAAGCTTTTACCGGAAAAACAATCCATATCTCATCGACGAACTATCGTGAGAAGGTCGGCAATGTCTTATTTTGTAGAGCAAATATTTGTGCACAAAACTGTCGACTCGAAACAATTTTGAAAAGTTTCTTCGATTTTTAAAACTACTATCGCCAAGAGTCTCAATAAAATAACCGTTGCATGCCTATTTTTTAGACACATCAAATAGTTAGTCTTCAACACTTTCAATCAACAGAAGAACAACGGTGAAGATAAACATAAAAAAAGATCCCTTTCTAAATAGTACAAGATCTCACGTTGTCCACATGCTAAATAAGTATGAGTTGGACTGTATATTCAATGGTATAATGGCTTTCAAGATAAAAAATTAAATATATTTACTTTAGAATTATTTGTTCTCCCATCATTGTCATCCATATTGAAAAACGACGTAATACAGTAAACATTGGAAGACTAGAATAAGAAGAAATGAGAGATATTTAAGTTCTAATATAAAAAAGATAAAATAACACAGAGATTCTACCTAACTGCTTGTGTACTACCAAGTCCAAATAATAGATTACCAAAAAACACAATTGGTAGCGGCATAATCTAATTAAAAACACACATATAATAAGCAGAATATAAAATAAATTGAATAGCAACTTAAAAAGTAGAGAATCTTCTTCTAACAAGCTCGAGGACAACTTATCACGTATGTCTATATAGAACTGTAAAAGCTCCCGTTACTTCTTCGGTTGTTATCGATAACGGTCACTAGAAAAACAGTTGCCGTTAAAGTAACGATAACTGTCTTTTCAGTTAGCGTTAAACCAACGTTAACTGAAAAGACAGTTACCGTTACTTTAACGATAACTACGTTTTCAGTTACTGTTGAAATAATGGTAACTATCAGTTAGTTAACTTTGCGGTAACTATTTTTTAAGTATGGCAGAAATATCCACGCAGCGGCTTAGAATGGTTTCCAAAATCGTTAGTTTTCCACTAAAACTGTTGAAACTTTCAAATGACATGGTTTTGTAGTCTAATTTCGTTGATGAAAACAAAAAAGATTTCTCAAGCTGGCTGTAAGTGCTGCGGCCTCCAGAGACCTTAAAAACTGCAGTTACAAAACATTGAAGTTACATAATTTCGATTAGCTTAGTTGACTGACACGTGCGTGCCGATCAAAACCATGTCATTTATGAAAGTTTCAATAGTTTTAGCGGAAAACTAAGGATTTTGAAAACCATTTTAAGCCGCTGCATGGATATTTCTGCCATATTTAAAAAATAATTACCACAAAGTTAACTAACTGGTAGTTACCGTTATTTCAACGGTAACTGGAAACGCAGTTATCGTTAAAGTAACGGTAACTGTCTTTTCAGTTAACGTTGGTTTAACGCTAACTGATGTATTTTCAGTTAAATCAACGCAACGGGAACTTTTACAGTCCTACTGTCTATATCTAAAAGACTTTTGATTCAGTGATCTCAAATACATTTATTTACATACTAAAGAAAATGTCAAAAATCATTTTCGTTTTCATTATTTAAATTTCTGATGTAGATAATAAAAACAAATTGATCCTCGATAGATTATAGTGAGAAGATGACATACTTGTCGTACAACATTTTTAGATAAATTTGGAAAATGAACGAGATTCATACACCGTAAACAATATAAAATCACAGCAGAAACGGCTAGCTAAAACAGAAGACCAAAGATAACATACAAACAGCAGATAATATTACGAGCAAGTTGTATTAACAATTAGCTGGAAATGACGAGTATTATTAACCACTCCAAATAATTCGTGCGTGGGACTATTTTTTGAAATAACTAAAGAACAAGCACATACTAAAAGAAAATCGACTGAGAATACTCTTGTTTTTGATAAAACGTTTTCTAGAAACCTTCAGAAGTAGGACAAGTGTTTTTACTAGTCTTAACTACAGAATCCCATTGAACAGATAAAATAGAGTACATTTTGGTATTCTGACGTATTTCGCATCCATTTTGACTGAGTTATGAATTTTCTAATTTTACGTGAAAATAGGCAAAAATATATTTCACCTCACATAGGTATTCACTAGGTTTTTGAATTTTTTCAAAAAGTAAACGTTATCACGCGAGACTCAGCGCGGTCGGTTACTTATGTTTCCATTTATTTGCATGATTACTACACCTAAGGAAATATTGATTCTGCGGCTTTGAGGAAATCCGATACCGTGCTTAAATCACGAAAGATTAAGAAGTCGGTTAGTTTCCATTTTGTAGAGGATACTATAGGCTATCTATCATATAAAAAAGCTAATATATTATTATATTAAAGTTTCAGGTTATGAAATAGCTTTCCAAAGACCCCTTAGAAAACCGACTTTTGAACCTTTTTTAAACCGTTTCTGGTTATGGAAAGATGCATTAAGGTTTTGGCTATCGAATGGTGAAAACCACAGGTTTCTTTCTCTTTTTGTTCTTGAGTTATTAAAAAAATAACTAGCCACACACATGAACTTTTTGGATGGACAGTAGACACACAGAAAAACCTAAACCATTGTCTAATGTTTCACGTAAAAGCAGATACAAAGTTGTAAAAATGTGAGTGAAGTACCTCTAAAAATGAGAACTCGTTGTAAAAAAAATAACATCGATAAAACTACTCCAAAAAAGAATGTTACTCATACATCCATTGATATTGATGTTGATTATGGAATTAAATAAACAAAAGTGGAAAAAAATCGATCCATTTAGTTACACACCTGTCCAATACCCAATAGTTGAAACGAAGGAAATCTAAACACGTGAGGATAGTTAAGCGCATAGGAATGACGGTTTAACAGCTACATAACTTAGTCGATTTTCTCTTTTACTCTATTTCAAAACCGAAATTTGACATCATTATCATCACAATATATTATTGGAATAAGAATAAAAAACAAATGGATATGAAATTCACTTACCCATAAGATGTTAGAACAATTTTGTTAATTATTGTGATCAAACATGATGATGTTGCAAATAATAAAGCTGAACTAATTCGTTGTAAAAAGCTAACTGTTGGAGGAGATGGACATTCCAAACGTTTACGATCACGATCAATATTCGCGGCCATTACTTCCTATAGTATTGTAATTGAATAAAACTTAGTTACAAATATCATATCATTTTTTTGAAGAAAAACAGACACTAAATTTGGCTTAATGTTGATGTCTGTTTTCTAGTACCGTTGTTAAAATAGAACGTTTATATATTCCCATGTACAAAAAATCGGCAGTTAATCGTGAAAAATCATGCGCTTAATTGCCGAGTTTTTTCTTGATAATAAGTTCGAACCCATCTTAGGAAATACATATTTTTTTCTTTTTTTTCATTGTTTATTATGTATAATGATATGTACGTCACTCAGCAAGGGTCTTAGCACCAGCTGAAGTCGAATAACAATAACCATTTAATCGCTTAAAATCAACAATTAATCGCAATTAATTGCAGATTTTAAAAAAAAAGAAAAATTATTGAAACCGAATTAATCTGCGATTTTTCAAGAATCGCGATTAATTGTTAAAAATACCGCGATTTCGTCGACATGGGTTATGTAATTAGCTCTGCAAGTCTTACGTCAAGTAAAATCAGCAAAAAGATTCTCCAAATTAGTCAAGTCAAAGTCATGAAAATTTTTTATCAAATCAAGTCTGACTTCACTTGCCCAGCTCTGTATGTAATAAATTTTTGGTCCCCTACCCTCTTAAATAATCGATCCTAATCATTTGAGTTTTTCTCTTCCCGTTTTTATTCGTTTCAGTATCTTCTACAACAACAGACTGAATAATTTTTTATTTGAATGATTTATGGTTGTATCAACTGAAGTTGATTGAGATGGTAATGTATTTTCAACTATCTTCTTCTTTACGCACATTTTAAGTAATGACGTTTTTCTTGTCTCAAATTGTAAACTCATTGCACAAATTTTCGACAGTATCTGTATCCCTGGAATCTTGGAAATTTTCCAGTTTGCGTTATCATTACCTTTGTTGCACAAATTCTAGAAAAGAGGGAAAAAATAACAATAACTACACTGGACAACTGTTTGCAGATAATTGGCCTCATTTGTTCCACCTTGTAATGCTACAAAGGCGTTGATAAAAATGATGATACAGTCCAAGCAAAAACACCTAAAATCTTGGATAAAGAGAACGGTAGTCTTGATTTGAGAACGTTTCTCATCTGATTTAATAGAAATAATCTCCTTCTCAGACATTTTGTGGTTAGGTGATGACTTTTCAACCAAATCTTGCCATTGATTAAGCGATCATTATTTCAAATTTTTCATGATCACTAAACACAAAGTTCGATACCTTACTATACTAAAAGAATACGATCATCATATTTTCTTTTTGATCCGCTTTACTAGGTCGAGATTCGATTAGTCGACAGATTCATCAAATGAATAAAATGATTTCAGACTCTACAAGATGAATAGTATTTTATTTTACTATTGTTCTCTGTTTTTAGCATATCAGCATTATATCAAGCCACATTTGAAAGTATAGTTACCCAATGAAAGATAATACATTTCTTTGTTATAATATATAATATTTAATCAATATTTTCCATATAATACCTAATCAGGGTAAGAAAATCTGTATATATTCTGACTAGGGTTAGTTTTCTCGCTCTATGCAAGATGGAGCTCATTGTGACGTTCAATATCGGAGATTATCGGTAGATAGTAATGTTCGAGTGTGCTTTTGATGCTTCGATACTCTTTCTCATCTCTTTTGCCTGCTATGAACGATTCATGAGATGGCCATGTTTATATGAAGGAGGAATAAAAATAAAATAGTAGCGAAATCACCAATGAATACTGAGATAGATCTCGAACTAATTCAAAATTAATTTCGTTTCCGAATTTTTAGATGCTAAATATAATATAAGGTTAGTTTACGTAAAGATGTATCGATAAAACACGTTGCAAAATTGTAGAACATAAAATTTCCGTATTCATAAGATAAAATCGTATTTTCTGGTATTCTTTGGGAATAGTTAATCCAATTTCTTGAAGAATAGTGGAATTTTAGATAATACATAATGTGACGATACCTCCTTTCATAAGCAGGTTAAATCAGCTGACGTAGAACATTGTGCTTTTACACATATTTGACCATAGCCAACTTGGCGAAATCGAACGAGACCCACAGTCAGAGATGCAGAAACTACTCGTGTATGCGTACGGGTGTATGTGGAAAATTTCTGAAAGCTGTGCAAATATTTGAAAAATTTTCTAATGGAAAAGATGTGGAATTTTTTCACATAGGAAGATTTAAGAAATTTCCATTGTGAAAATACCTTGGAAACTGTATTGGACTAATTTAAAGAAAAACTACTTTTGTTGGTATCGAGTTCACTGCACACTGCCATTTTATCTAGATATTCACCATTAATTTTCTTCTCGATATACACTTCCACTATAAAAATAAAGATTTTAGAAAAACGTACGATTACCCGAGACCCATAATGAGCCATGGTAGAGCTAATGAAAGACCAACAATGATGAAAAATGCAATGATAGTACATTTGCGATAAGCTGCAAAATGTTTTAGAAAATATTGAAAACGCTGAAGATAAACGTTTTTCGACTTTTTGATTAATGGAGGTGAAGAAACTGTGCGACAATGAATGAGTGATGTTTGTGAAAATCCTCTAAAAAAATATTGGTGCTTGAAAAGCTTGATCCGATCCCCAGTCGGTGAGTAAGCCTGATAAATATCGTTACTGCTCGTCAAATATGCGAGACGAGGGATGTGCAGCGAGAATGATGAGGAGCATTCGAAAATATACATGAAAAATCTCAACTATTTTGGTATTTTCAGTACCCAGTAACATTAATTAATCTCTCACTTAAACTAAATGTAAGCTGTCTCGTTTAAATTGTACATAAATCGAGTTATACAACGCTGTTGATATTTTCTTTCTCTTCACCTTCGGTCGTCTTCAGTTCAATTCAGTTTATTCTGGCATAACCATGGATACAAGAAAAAAGCTTTGCTAGTGTAAAAGTTTGTGACAAAAGAATCTGCGTTTGATTAGAAATCTAGACAGATAACTTTGTCGACATACCCACAGAGAAAGAAGAGAAAGGAAAAACAAAAAAGCTTCTTAATCCAACTTGTTTCTCGTTTTTTGTTGGTTTTACTATTTGTGTTGCTTGTCATTGAGGGAGTAGAATACATAGAATTGATGATATCGTCGGATGCTTTATGTAGTAAAATGTGAATCGCCTACTCTATGCGTTTGAAACAAATGACTAGATACTAAACCTTCAACAAGTAATATCATCAGTGTAGAAGTGTTAACAGACACTAATTCTGACATAACAAAATAGATTTGACAGTAAATATAGTCTGAAAAGTATTGTCAACATGAATCAGTTTATTATTTTCTTCAGTTGTTTATGAGTTTGTTCTTGTTTTCTTGATCGAAAGGATGACTTTTTTCATATACATTCGTACGTGAGAAATTCTGAAAAAAATACCTAGAGAGAAAACAAGTGTCCAATGGAAGATTTCTTCTCTAACATTGTGATTTTATGCAATATTTTAAAATAAGATAATTTTTTTTTCTGTACAGTATTTTCTTAGTCGACGAAAAGTTAAATGGTTCACTTTTAAGATGTATAGAATTGGCGGACAGCGTCGAATAATGGATTTTGATAAGTTTTTTTTATCAGACAATCATGGTGCTATGCAAATTTTACAGAAATAATTTCGTGTGTTATTTTTTTCTTTTACATTCGTCATGTATAAAGCAAATGTTCTCATAAATATAAAAAATCGTAAAGCATAAACAACTAAACACTTTCAATGAGAAAATTGCATGACGGTTTTGGAAAAGATTCTCTATTTGTTTTATTCGGTTCTCTAAAACGAATTATATCACAATTGATGAATCAGAGGGAGAAAAGAAACCATCCTGATAGCGGCACATAACTGCAATTTCGAAAATACTTTATCTGAAAAAGGAGGCGGAATGCATGAAATATTCTCATTTATAAGTAGTAGTCGTATTTTTCTAAGAATTGACGTAGTATTTATCTTTTTTGCGTGGTAACATATACTTTAGATTTATAGATGCTTCTATTTTAGATGATACTACCTTGTAGAGTTACACCACTTTGAAGATTATCAATATATAATTAAGGATACTTTAATTTTTAAAATTTTACATTAATTTTAGCTGTAATAAACGTTTGACTTTAATTCTGTTGCACTTCTCAAATATAATCATTAAATTCAATGTCAGAAAAAAAAAAAAAAAAATGAGTTTCTTAAACCGCAAGTGAGAATTTCTTGAGTCTTACTATTTTCTATTTTCAGTTATCATCAAGTTTATTGTTCTTATTCTGCTCCTGGTAATACATTTCTTTCATACTGTACCAGATATAATCATATCAGTAGCATAGATGAATGCAAATAATATTTCGATAATAAATCCTCTTCTTAATTTCTGTTTTCTGATTTTTTACAGGATAATATACAAAAATGCAGACATTGTCACTTCCATTAGTCTCTGTTATTTTGAGTGAAATAAACAAAGTAGTAAGTTGATGGCGAGTGATTATCAGATAAACTATTATTCCATTTTCTATTACTTATATTTGTTGATGATTCTATCATTTGTCACCATTCAACGTCATATCATATTTGATGACTAATATTTTTGTCAACATTTTTTCTTTCTCCTAATTTTAATATACCACCTATAGCAAATTATGTATTTGTGAAAAATATAAAACATGGATATATATAAATATTTGTTTATTTTTAGATCATTTATTTCATATTTCTCGCTTCTGTTTCCATTAATCATATAAATAAAAATATGTTCGATTCAAAATAGAAAGTGAATTAATAAAACAGATTAATATGCAAGCACTCAAATGTGTCGTCGTTGGTGATGGGTATGTTGATTACTTCTCACACGCATGTGGTACTATAACAATAATATTTTGCTGTTTTCTATTTTTTAGTGCCGTTGGAAAAACATGTTTATTGATATCTTACACAACAAATACATTTCCAGGTAAGATAAAACGAACATTATCTCATTTCAATTAGCAATAAAAATATCGTTAATTTTGTTCATAAATTGCGCCTGTCGAGAATATTTTCTCGAAATATTCACAGGGTCTCTGAGCTGTCGGTAGACACTCGTCTCGTTCTTAGGCTAGTTCCGTATCAGCGGAACATAAAACACTCACTGACTAATGAAAAGGATCAATTGAAGTGCATAGATGCACGTAAAATGTTTTCTGCTTTTACTGTAGTTTGTTGATCTTCACCCTACACCGATAGGTAAGGGATATTCTTTTTCTTCTTCATTAATTTCATAATGAGAAAAGGGTTAAACATCTTTGGAAAACTAAACTTGATCCAAAATGTTGATTGATTCTCGGTTTTATATTTAGGAGAATATATTCCAACTGTGTTCGATAATTACTCGGCAAATGTGATGGTAGATGGAAAACCAATTAATTTAGGATTATGGGACACAGTAAGTTTGACAGCAAATTACGAACATAAACAATGTCAGAATCAGAAAAATACTTATAGTTGTTCATGAAACGATGTAGATAATTTAATTGCGGATAAATAACTGTTCTGTTCAGCTTTCTAAAATTCTAAGAATCATCAAAGAAGTCATGCTAGTTTTAAACAACAAAATTAGGTCTATAGTATCACCTAGAGATTTTTTAGTGCTGGTAAGAGAGAATGATCATTATAAATTGCCATGCTGATTTGTATTGAATCAAAGCGCTACTTTCTGTTCGAAGTCATAAGCAAAAATTTTGAGATTTCAATTCAGACGTTACATGAACTCAATAGTAGTACATCGGAAAAAAATACGCTATGTTCAGTGTACGAAACAATAAGTAATACTAATTTTAACAGAATCTATTGAAAAAAGGATGAAACATTTTGTCATGTGTCTTCATTTTCCTCAGGCTGGTCAAGAAGATTATGATCGATTACGTCCATTGTCTTATCCACAAACTGTACGTACTTTTTTTCTAAGTGAGTTTAATATTCTATCTGATTTTATTGTTTTTTTTTGGTTTAGGATGTATTTTTGATTTGTTTTTCATTAGTTAGTCCAGCATCGTTCGAAAACGTCCGAGCAAAAGTAAATAATACTTCTAAAAAAAGAAGATGATTTTTCACAAATTTCATCAATGTTCAATAACTAAAAAGTTATCGAGCAATGGAGCCATTGCAATCTGTAGAATTTCTTGATAAAAGTTTACAAAGTAGAAGAGAAGAATTAATATTTATAGTGTGCGTATTTTTAAACAAATTTATGTAGCAAGAACGATGAAATTTGTGCAATTGATGTTATTGTATTACAATTATTTTAAAGTAATTTTTTTTTTCGATTTTAGTGGTATCCAGAAGTAAGTTTTTAGTCAGCATATGTCCTGTGTACTTGCTCTTAACTCTTTTGCTTGTTTATTTTTTTTTGTGTGTGTGAAGGTCAGTCATCATTGCCCGAATACTCCTATTGTGTTGGTTGGCACAAAATTAGATTTAAGAGATGATAAAATAGCTATTGAAAAGTTAAAAGTAAGTATCGAAATTTTACTCTTAATCTCACTCAACAAAAGGTTACACTGAAATACTTTTTTAATAGAATGATTTTAGATTCGGAGAAGAAAGTGAGACAGTGTAGTATACATCAACATTAGCAGTATATTTTGGCTAGAAGAATTACTTTTCTCTTAAAAAGAATTTCGATATAATACAGGCATTTCATTTTAGTCTCTTTCTCTCTTTCTGTATATATATATATATATATTCCGGTTTTTCTCATTCACATAAGTTATGATTATCGTCGGTTCCTAGCTGTGAATGATCCTCTTTTTCTGGGCTTTTTTAGCAAAAACACCAGAATTCACGCTATTTTTTGATCTGAAAGTAGTTTCAGCTATATTTTTTTATCAATGCTATCATATAAAACAAAATTCAATCACTCGTGGTTACAGAAAACAGTAGATGAAGTCCCTGTGAGATGATGGTTAAAGCAAGATGCTAAGGAATCAACATTCGTATGTACATTGTGTAAAACCGGCGAATTAGATCGTGGGAACAAAGGACGGCAGTCGACAGTACAACATCTGAAGAAAGATAAACACCGTGAAAAAATCAGAGAGTTGAAAGCAAATATCACATTCGTTAACGATGCTATTTGAACAGTCAGATATGTTTCTGTGTTAAACTAAAGAACTCCTTTTTCTTAGTTTTTTACTCGTGAAACACGAAAACAAAAACTTTCAGTAGGATGAAATCTTTAGCCACTTTGACGTGTACACAACATTGTCAGTGCCGTTTTTTGGCCAAAAAAATGCCTCCTCTTTTCCTCTTTTTTACCCAACGTTCTTCTTAAAAAATGTTTAACGTTCTGCTTTTTTTCCTCTTTTGTTCTAAAAGGACCGTTGGGAAGTAGAGACCTGCACGGGTTAAGAAAACGTAACCTGAACTCGACCCGACCTCCCCCTCCCGAAAATGTCCCCCTGAATTATGTCTTTTTATTCATCTATTTGTTTAGCGGAAGGCATGGCATTACAGGCGAACGATCTTTTGCTAATGGTCTGCTAATATTCTAGAAAATCTGAGCTTATATCTTTCTAAATTTGCAATATCACCTCTAATAAAAGAGAAATGTTATCATTACAAATTATGCGGTTTGGAAAAACATTGTTTTCCTTCAAGAAGAACAGTTCAATAAAAAGCGAATTTAGGAAGATATAACGCTCAAATTTCCTGTAATATTAGCAGACTATTAGCGAAAGTACAAAGATCGGGTCGGGTTCAGGTCGCGTTGCTTGCCTCTATTGGGAAGCCAGGTCGGTTCTCCAAAGCGTTAAGATGTGTGTTTTCCCTTCCATAGTGTTCATGTGTCTGTTTATTTTATGCTAATATGATCTTTCTTTTCTATGTTGTTTTTGTTAGCTGTGTGTTGTTTATAATGTGCTAAGGAAAAATGAAAAGAAGAGTGTGAAAAGTGGAATCAGTGAGAAAAAAATATTTCAACACACGAGAAGTATCTCATTTACATCATCCGTAACGATTGCACACAAAAGCTATACAAGTTCTATTTCTTCCTAGAAAATCTTAAAGTTTTGTCAGAAAGTAGACACATCGATGCTGTCATTTATGACTGGTAGTCTAGTTTTGTCTGACTTTATATTTGTCTGATTTTATTTCTCATAATTAGGTTTCACTATTTCTAGGAGAAAAAATTAAATCCAATAACAAGTATTCAAGGTGAATCGATGCGTAAAGAAGTGGGCGCAATTAAATATTTGGAGTGTTCAGCATTAACACAAAAAGGACTTAAAACCGTCTTCGATGAAGCCATTCGCGCACATCTATGTCCAAAACCAAAACCCAAAAAAAAATTATGTACGTTACTTTAGAATCTCTGTTTGTACTTTCTTGTGCTTTTTTCTTTTGTTTAATATGTTCATTGTTCTCGCTTTTTCTTTGTTGTGTCTGTTGTGTAAGTTATCGGAATTTTTTTTTTTTTTTTTTTGTTTGATGCATGCATTTTTTTCTCATTCTAATAGGATATTTTCTCCGATGGTCTCACATTCTCTAAGATATCTTGTGAGTAAAATTAATAATATCTGAAATTGTTCAAGTGCATGCTATCGTTTTTGTTCCAATTTCGTCAAACGAAACTTGATAGTCATATCCACTGTGACAATCGTTTTTTTTTCTCGATTGTGAATATTCATCTCTGTTAATAAAGTATATGACTTGTATTGTGAGAACGTTATACATCATTCAGTAGATAAGGTTGTTTGATACCGGTATCATGGTTGATATGGTTTTTAATCATAAGTCATAGTTAAAGGCATACTACCAGTAGAATATATAAAATATTAAGCTCGACTGAAAATATCAAATATTTATTTGACAAAGCTATTCGACAAATACTAGTATCAACTTTCACCTCTTAATTTAATGGAAAAATTGAATTTTTCACCTTTTATTTTAATGAAAGTTTTATATATATCAAAGTGAGAACATTTTCTGTATGGTCAAGTCACTATGTTCTACAATCTGACAATATCAGAATGTGTGATTTGTTCAAAATTCATTGCATTTCTCTGAAGATTTGGGTTCTATAGACTCAATCAGGGAAGGGTCTAAGGGGACAAACGAATATTAAATTCGTCATTAGTATAAAAAATTACCGAGGATATAGGTTATAGAAATCGAACATCAGAATGATTTGTTCGTATTGAAGAGATAGATTGATGTCAAAGAACAGTCATATATTGTTGAAAATAAATCTCTGTTAAATTAAATAGCACATGTACTTTTTTTTTTGTCTCGTTATATTTCATTTTTGCTATATTTTGTTGCGTTCTGAGCGTGATAGGCATGAATAAATTAGATGAAACACGCTAAAATCTTTAGTCTCCTGATTTCTAGTCGTCTTTAACTGTATTTAGAAGTTTCTAAACACTGTTTTCACACGAAATCTTTTTTTGTTTTTCTCGTTTATTTGAAAAATTGTTTAAAAGAATATTTACATTCCTCTGTTTTGATGAGGATGAAGACACTGTTGCTCTAGGTTAAGACTTAATTTTCTCTGTACTTTTTATATCTACTTTTCTTGTAAATGAAATATATATTTGTTTAATTGTTACATAATTAAATGTCATCAGTGGCAAAATACGGTGAAACAAAGTCACGACAAAATGTGATGGAATTATTTAAACTAAACAGGATGTAAAATATCATTATATGATAATGATGTCTTTCCTTATTTAGGCAAAAAGCTTGACAGAGTTGATAGTGGGAAGACGTTGATGTAAAATGTGGTTATCATTATTTTCTTACAGTAATTTTCGTTTTGCGATCATTGTTCGCTTAAAACAGATTTTTAAATATTTTCATTTCTTCAAAAATCAAAAGATAAATGTTAAGACGACATGATATGTTGGGATACGGATTTTGTCTTTGTAGAACAGTTTTTTACATAAGACAGGGACTGTATTAATCTTCTCGAATACTTTAGATAACATTAAAACATTTTGAAACGAGGAAGAATAATTTTTATTCTGATTCCGTCTGTCATTCTTTTTTTAAATAACAAATATTTGCACTAATGGTTTATAACGAATTATGTCCAAATTCCGTACACTTTTTGATTAATAACCAAAACATGGACTCTACAGGAAATTCGTACGTAGTTTCATGATATTTTCAAGCATCTTGTCTTTAATGCCGGGATATTATACAACTTCAGAACTCAATGCACCAGTATAAACATGCCCAAGTTTACAATAAGACACTAGTTCTCTGAAAACCTGGCCTTGTAATTCTAAATCCATGTTTTCTAGTTCTTCTTTTCGCTTACTTTCACAATGTGTGATGATCAATAATGTTTGCCTGAAGAAAAGATCAAGTCAAACAGTATGAAATTGAAAATAGAATAATCGAATGTAATATATATTATTCATAAGTACTTTTCCTGACTTGCCGAAATTCAGACTGTTTTACAAATCAATTCAAACGCGAAAATGATTAATTTAATTTAAAATTTCTGTTCCCTAAATGGTAGAGCCGGATAATGCAGTCAACCGATAGAGATTAAAAGTAGACTGCAAACTGATGAGTCATCGGGTTATCGTCATCGACTATAACGCTCGTCTGCGCTCGCTCGGCCCCTCCGATTTAATGTGTAAGCCACATCTCTGAATGATCAAGCAATGATTATTTGTAATTCATGTAATCGTTCGATTTCAATACTTTCAAACAAATTGACGGACTTGTTTTCCTGTTTTGAACAATATTTTTGAAGCAACATGTAACGGTTGAAAGTCCTTAGAAGACCCCTCAAAAGTAACTAAGAATCAATACGTTTTTTACAGTGCTCCGTAACTCAGATATCTGCTATGCACATTTTCTTCACGAAAGTAATTTGTGTTTGCTTAATTTTGTGTTTTTTTTCCGGTCTACATCAAAACAGCTAAATATAAAAGTAAAGGTCAAACTTCTTACTTTTCTCAGACTTTTATCGTATGTTTGACCATAGGCGGTGGAGCCATCAGGCCTGAGATACCCTATGCTAGGAAAGGGTAGGCTTGGGTAGGCTCGATTCAATGTATCAATTTTCTGTTATTGTTTAATTTTCATGCTCTGAAAGATGACGCATTGTTACAAGATCAGTCCACTTTTTGTGAAACTCGACGGCCTCAAAACTAGGAAAAACAATGTTCGAAAAGGTTAGATTTTTCGACTTGGATTGTTGGCCCGAACGTTGAAATTACTTTTTTCTTATTTAGTGTTGAAAACTGACTTAACAACTAACATTACGTCCATTTCCGTCGAAAAACACTTGTAATTTTTTTAGTTCAGACTTTTCATGTGAAAATCATGCGAAAAAAACTATAAAGACATAAGCCAGTGTATTCATGACTCGTATAAATGCAGTTAGAGGGTTCCATCCTGAACCTGCGATGTAATCCATAGACTTGCGGTGTAATGCTGGGTTGTGAGCCGACAAGTAATCTTACTTACTAAAATATTAGAGGGCAACCTTTCATTAATGGGTCTCTGTTTCACGTCTCTAACACACTGTATGATGGTTTACTATCTAACAAAACACTATGCATGTTTTAGTAATGTGAAACCAGGCTGAACATGTGAACACTTGGCTTAGAAATCGGAACCGTATCCTATACGTTATACAATCAGTGGAAGAACGGTGCGAGAGCCATTTGATAATTCAAAAAATGACCAAGCTACTCAGAACACTTCTGCAGAATTCAAATCTAGCACAAAACCTATAGCGCTTATTATTATGAACAAATAAAAAAACAGTCTTTCAATTTGCTTTCGGGGCCGATTGGGCTGAAAATTTGAGCCTACCCTAGACTGAGATCGGGTACCTAGACCGCTCACGTGTTTGACGAAGTATAAAAGTAAAATATTTCTGCTCTTTCTAATTCCTCTTGAAAGAAAGTTTTAATTTCTAAAAATATTTCAAAATAGAGTCAAGATTTGGTGTTTAGAAGTACGGTAGGTCTGCAAAGATTGGTTATTATTGCTGTAAATCGTTAGCATTGATGATAGTGATGCTAGATATTATTTAGAACAGGTCACTCATTATGTGACCATTGTAGCCTAGGCTACAATGATGTGTCACAAAAATGCGTCGCAGTTCCTTGTGCGAGAAATATATGTCGCAGTTGCTAGATGTTGTCAACAGTGGAGTAACTAGGATTTTTTTACCATTGGACCAACTCCCTTAGTCCAGAAAAACCACTTTCGTTAGTTATGCGCTTGAGTTAGGATCTACTTTCTCATAATTTATACCTGAGAAAATTGAATTAATCCGTTAATCCATTAAACCTACACACAAAAAAGATCATAACGGGGCGAATGTCCGATGTGGGAATTTCTCCTTTCTATGATCAACGGACTGGATCAAATCAGGGCCAAAAAAGAGTAGCTAGTGAGGAGTACTTGTCTTCTGATCTCGGTTCTAATTTGGGTATTGGGTACCCAAGTCTGAGACTTGGGTTTGGATATTGGGTCAGACTTGGGTTATTAAAAGACTCCTTTTAACTGAGATACCTTCTTTTGTTGTGGCTCTTTGAGAAAACAGGATGTAAGATGACATGTGGAATATTGTAGATAGGGATGCAACGGTAACGGTAACCGCACCTTACCTGTTACCGTTACCGGTCCAACCGGTTCTTACCGGTAGCAATAAACTTGAAAAACAAATGGAATATTTGCTACATAATTCAAAACACAAAATAAATGTTTCTTTAATCACAGTTCTCTGTTAATCAATATAACGTTGAAGAAAAACACTTTTTAACATGGAACAATCAGTGTAACTCAAACTAGCTTAAGAACTCACATGTGAATGCTTGTTTAAAAATAGATTATATCTAGCACAAGCAAGAGAGAAAATAGATGGACTATTAGAGCTGCGACACAAATAGCGATTTTCTTTTCTTTTCTCTTTTCTGCTTTGTTTTCTTATTCCCGTTATCACTCTATTCAGTTAGTTAACCGGTTAGATCAATAACGGTAATCGGTCAGAACCGGTAACCGGTTAGACCGGTAACGGTTGACCGGTTGTCAACCGTTACCGTTGCATCCCTAATTGTAGATGGCAGAAGCGATATGTGATAATACTGGAATAAATGGTGAAAGAATTTTGCTTAAATATTTTGATAGACGATGTGTTGAATGGTGAATGTTAGAAATAATTGGGCGACCCGGGCTTTGTAGTTTATGAATTTTTGGTAATATGTAAAAAACGCCTAAACCAGGATATTTTGGAGTGATGGATTTGTGGATTGTTTTGTTTATTTGTTTGTTGTTGAGTAATTGCTCAAGTTTAGATTTAACCAAATTAAATGTTTTTCGACTTGGATTGTAATCAAGCTGTCGATAATATTCGGTATTATTAACTTGTTGTAATGATTTGCTTTCATAAACGTTAATATCAATAACAACTATTCCTACATTTTTATTGGCTGGTTTAATAACTATATCTAAGCGACGTCGAAGAGATTGTAATGCTTGGTAGTCAGTGACGGGAAGATTCGGTATATAATTTTTACGTCGGTAGAATATCGCATCTACAACTTGTTTTTGAGAGATATTGATGCATGGCGGAAGAAGAAGGAGACGATCGATGCTTTGCAAAAGGGATGGAGATGTCTGTAGGCGGTTGGTGGGCACGAATTTGAGCCCTTTGGATAAAAGATTAATTTCTGGTTGTGTAAGTTGAACTTTGCCAAGGGTATAGATAATGCCAGTGAGGTGATGAGCGTTGAGATTGGCGAGTGATGGATCATAGGTTGGTGGAAGAGCCAGAATTGATGGAGATGATAATTGTGTTATTGGTATGATTGACGATATCTTGTTCGTGGATATAGGCCGAACGAGTTTTTTGGATGATGAACCGGTAACTGTGGGGTGGTGTTAGGAGGAAGTGACGGTTTGCTAGATGAACGTGTATTGTATTGATGTTGATAATCATGAAATGACGGAATATGCGGTTGTCTAATATAATCGTCGATGATTGTAACAGGTTGTTGCTGTTGATGATTCATTGTAACTGTTGTACGATCACGATAAAAATTGTTATCAAGTGTTATTGATGTTTGTTGTCCAGAATTAGAGGATGAATCATGAAAACTAACCTTGCGATTCGGTGGACGAGAAAGATAAGATGAAGACAAAAAATTGTCAGCAGATTGTTGATTGTTATTATTTCGATGATCTAAGTGTTGAGAATAATTGTGTTTATTGCTAGAGTATGGAGACGGTGGACGCTGGGGTGGGTATGATGATCGAGAAGGATTATTTTCATAAAAATTCGGAGTAAATTGAAGGTCCATAAGTGACATGTTAAAACGGTAGTTCGAATATTCTGAGAAATCGCCTGTTGTGTCTTCTTGTTGTATATTTTTATAAACTATTGAGCGTGGTTGATGATAAATGGGTGAGCGTGATGAACGATTGTCTTGATTTGGACGTGGTTGATAATTTTCATTATCGGTTTGTCCAGAATACTGTTGATTTGGTTTAGAATAGGATGACGAATCCCTTGATGAATATGTGGGACGAACTGATGTCGTCTTTAATTCATTTCTATTAATATTGTTGTTAGCAATTGATGATGTTGCTTGTTCTTGTTGTGAATTTAAAGGTTGTGGTGATGGTTGACGTTTAGCGATTTTTATTAATGGTGCAATTTCATGACGGATTTGTTTCGACCAAGAATTAGAAATGAAACGAACTCAGGATTTTCAGCATCAATTCTTGGAATTGCATGATGAGTGAGTGCGGATGGTAGTGAGTTTCGAAGAACATGTGTTTCGAGGATGGCATCGTGATTACGAAAGCGAATTTCACGGTTAATTTCTCTTTTAAGTAAAATCTCATGTGCAATAGGTGGTTTTGTAACCGGGTTTGTGATTGTTGTTGTGAGATCAGTTTGGGTTGTTGTATCCGAGAGTGATTTCAATGTTTGAGGACAGTTATATGGAGCACTGATGATAGACATTTGATAATATGGTATTGGTTCATGCAGATGTTGAATACGATGTAACCAGTATTGTTGCTGGTTGTACATTAGTGTAAAAAGTAGGATTCATGTTGTATACATTTGAACAGGAATGATCAGTCGGATGGGGGAATAATTGTCTTGAATATACTGATAGTGGACGAGGTGGTAATTGTTGATGACTAGTGTGATCCGGTGATCGAGATAATGTTTGATAAATAGGTGGAAATAAGGTGGAGATTGATGCTGGTGTTGTGGTAAGTTGCGGCGCTATACTTAATAATGACGTAGCAGTACATGGCGGTGCTGAAGGCGAGTCGACAGGTAGCTGCTGTTGCGATGCTAAAGATGTCGAAGCGGATGTGAATGTAATGATAGCTAGTGGCACAGAAAAGAAACATCAAAAAAACACGCTTATCCAGAACGTCAAGTCAGAGTAATGATGTGCTCTTGCCATTCCAGTAAGACTACCCTAACATAGCAGTGATCCTACAGATCCTAGATTGAAACAACTCAGTTTGAGGATGAGTAGGAGCCAGTGTGTTTCGAGCAATATCCAACGCGTTTTCAAAACATTTCAATGCTTCACCATATTCGCACTCCGATTTGTAAACCAGTCCAATGTTATTGTACGTTACCGCAACACTTGGATGGTCCGGTCTCAAAGTCCTCAGTTCGATTTCAAGAGTTTGATGATAATAGCTCAATGCTTGAGAATAATCGCCTTGATCATTGTAAACTCCACCAATGTTGTTGTACGTTGTAGCAACACTTGGATGGTTCCGTCCAAAAGTCTTCAGTAGGATTTCAAGCGTTTGCTGATAACAGCTCAATGCTTGAGAATATTCGCCTTGGTGATTGTAAACTGTACCAATGTTGTTGTGCGTTATCGCAACCCGCGGATGGTTCGATTCCAAACTCTTCCTTTGGATTTCAAAAGCTTGCTGATAATAGTACAATGCTAGAGCATATTCGCCTTGATCATAGTAAACTCTACCAATGTTGTGGTACGTTGTAGCAACACTTGGATGGTTCGGTCCAAAAGTCTTCAGTAGGACTTCAAGCGTTTGCTGATAACAGCTCAATGCTTCAGAATATTCGCCTTGGTGATTGTAAACTGCACCAATGTTGTTGTACGTTATCGCAACACGCGGGTGGTTCGATTCCAAACTCTTCCCTTGGATTTCAAGAGCTTGCTGATAATAGTACAATGCTTGAGCATATTCGCCTTGATCATAGTAAACTCCACCAATGTTGTTGTACGTTGTAGCAACACTTGGATAGTTCGGTCCCAAAGCCTTCAGTAAGATTTCCAGCGTTTGCTGATAACAGCTCAATGCTTCAGAATATTGGCCCCGGTGATTGTAAACTGCACCAATGTTGTTGTACATTATCACAACACTTGAATGGTTCGATCCCAAAGTCTTCGCTTGGATTTCAAGCGTTTGCTGATAATAGTACAATGCTTGAGAATATTCGCCTTGATCATTGTAAATTCTGCCAATGTTGTTGTATGTTGTCGCAAGACGTGGATGGTTCCGTCCCAAAGTCTTCAGTTGGATGTCAAGAGCTTGATGATAATAGTTCAATCCTTGAGAATATTCGCCTTGATCACAGTAAAGTCTACCAATGTAGTTGTACGTTGTCGCGACACTTGAATGGTTCGATCCAACCGTCCCGCATTGGATTTCAAGAGCTTGCTGACAATAGCTCAAAGCTTGAGTATATTGTCCTTCCGCTTTGTACAGCAGTCCAGTGTTGTTGTACGTTGTCGCAACAACTGGATGGTTGGCTCCCAAACTTTTCAGTTGGATTTCAAGAGTTTGCTGATAATAGTTCAATGCTTGAGTATATTGTCCTGCCGCTTTGTAAAGCAGTCCAATGTTGTTATACGTTGTAGCAACATTTGTATGGTTCGCTCCAAAGGTCTTCAGCTGGATTTCAAGAGTTTCCTGATAATAGCTCAATACTTGAGAATATGCGCCTTGATCATTGTAAACGCTACCAATGTTGTTGTAGGTTGTCGCAACACGTGGATGGTCCGGTTCCAAAGTCTTCATTTGGATTTCAAGAGTTTTCTGATAATACTTCAGCGC